CACCTCATTACCTGAGTATGATTAGACAGGTAATATCTATGGAAGTCGTGAGATCCTAGTTGCACGCTCCTTCCCGTGGTACGCATAGTCCTGGGGCTGGTTTCACTCACGCACTTAACGATGGTAAAGTCACTGGTAAGTTTAGGGTAAGTTTAGTTACCGTCGTAAACAGATAGCGGTGGTATTCACTTGCACTTTACCATCGGAGTTACCATCGTAAGTTTTACCAGTGGTGGGAGCACTGGTAAATGTTATCAAATGCTATCTCGTCAAAAAAAAAAAAAAAAAAAAAAATGATATAGAAAAGTTTTTGGATTGTTTTTATACCTGATGTAATTAATTTAATGGTAAAAAGGTATCACAATACGGACATAGCGAAGAAATGCAAATTTCACATGAAACTAGCAACTATAAGATTACAGGCATATATTATACTAGAATGCATGCAATGGGTAGATAGGCGTACACTAAAAGAACTTTTCTTCTCTGACATAATCATTGCAAATTCTATAGAAAAAAAGCTACCCTGCTGATGTACAACCTGGGAATATGAACGGAAAACGAGTATAGCAATTTCTGTCTGTCGGCATTTTGACAACAACAAAAAAAACAGAAAAAAAAAATCATGGGCAAGAATGAGCATGAAATTTTCCTTTGGCAGATGGCGATGTATATAAATTTTGTTTGGTCCGGCTCTTTGCTTAACAATGATGAGAGACAAATAAATAAATAAAAACAGTTTGGACTGTGACTGCGGTAAACATATATAGCGATTTATATATATATACTATATATATATATATATATATATTATATATATATATAGTAGATATAGTATATATTATTTATATATATATATGCATACATAATATATAACATGCATGTATAAATTGCTTATATACATACATTACATACATAAAGCAACACAACACACGCACACACACACACACACACACACAAATATAATATATATATATATAGTTATATATATATATATATATATATATATATATATATATATGTGGTGTGTGTATGTGTATTTGTGTTAGGTGTGTGGTCCAGCGTGTGTGTGTGTTTAGGAATTGGCTGTGTGTTTATATATATTTATCGTTTTATATGAGAAAATTATATATACATATATATATATATATATTGTTATTTCCTTAAATGTACCACTTAATGATGAAAAACGATTAAACCATTACTCACGTGCATTTATTGACTAGATTATGATAAAAAAAAAAAAAAATCCTTGTTTTTTTCTCGTTTTGAATGAAAGATGGTCTACACTACAATCAAAAAAGTCTTCAAGTCTTTAACTCGTAATTCGCTGCTGTCCATTGTTATCGGTGCTGATCAGGCTGACGCAGGAACAAAAGTACAAACACTGTAATGTGTAAATTGGCTCTGTATGCTCGTGTCAACAGACTGACGTCTTTCTCCTAATTCTTACTTTCCTTATCACTTAAACACACATTTGGTTTCAATACTCTTCACCTGAAAAAACATACACATCCTTGTTTTGATTTTCCAAGCTTCTTTTAAGGGATTCGAGTCTTACCTGTTGTACGATTAAATGGAATGCGGTGTACATAATGAAGGTGAGAAGTCTTTTCAGTATATGATGTATGTTATTTTGTAGTTAAAGTCTCGCTGTAAACAAGTTAAATGAAAAAAAAAATGACACGAAGGTGTTAGTGAAAAGAGCCCTGCGTCGTGATCTAAATGTGAATGCAATTTGGCTCGATGTTTTTCTTTCGTATTTCCGAGCAAATCTGGAAGAGTGTAGACAACCTCGTGATACTTTGATGGCGAGGTGAACGAGTGGTGTTTCGAGACTCAGATAAGACTCAGTTTTCGAGTCATGTAAAGGTAAATTAGACTGTTTGTGTGTATGTGTGTGTGTGTGTGTGTGTGTGTGTGTGTGTGTGTGTGTGTGTGTGTGTGTGTGTGTGTGTGTGTGTGTGTGTGTGTGTGTGTGTGTGTGGTGTGTGTGTGTGTGTGTGTTTATGTGTGTGTGTGTGTGTGTGTGTGTGTGTGAACTAAACAAGTACTATATTTCTTACATTTCTAGAAGCGACTTTCTTGTAATTGTAGGATTTTTTCCTCCCTTTTTGTCTTTGTCTTTGATATAAATCACATGCGCTTCTGTAACAAAATCCTACATCATAAGCAGTTTCACATCCCTCTCTGCTGTTTAGAAAAAACGGGTATTCAGATTTTACAGATTTAAAATGAAGTAAGTTTCTTGTCTTTATGGATAGATAGATAGAAGAACATCCATCTTTCTTCCTTCTATCTCCAATTTTCCTCCTAAAGTTTGAAAATATCTTCCATTCGAATATATAAAGCAAAAAAAGAAAAAAAAGTCACGACCATATCATAACTTTGTAATCATATCAGCTATTAATATGATCGTAAAGAAGGTATGCTGTATCCAAATAAAGTCCTTTCTCCAAACTTCACTAAAACAACAGGTAATAAACAATTAAACACAACAGCAGCGATATTCTCTTTATTGACACGAGTCGCGTGCCACAAAACAACCCAAAACCACAGACAGGAAGAAGAGAAGCATTTTGTTGTCCCGATGTCGTTGTCGTTGTCGTTAGGGTCGATCCTCTGCCTTCCGCGAGATCCTGTCATAAATGAAGTAGAATTTAGACTTAGAAGATTTGATAGATTTTTTGTTCAGGTTGTTATAATTTTAGTTATCTTATTACATTAGGCATTATGATAATTTGTTTGTGGTGTACTCACAGCCCCAGTGATGATGGCCCCAGTGTCCTGAAAAATAGTTCCATATTATAAAGAATATTGTCCATATTTGCATAAAAATAAATGGATGATATATATATATATATAATATATATTATATATATATATATGTATATTTTATATTATATATTATAAACATTTATATTTAGCATAGTAGTCGTAAACTACATAACATATATCACGCAAATGAACAGGACGATAGACAGATGAGGAGACAGATGCCGAGGCAGATAAACTCCAGTAGATGAAAACCGAGATATGTGGCTTCCTTACCGTGGTGGTGGTGGTGGTGGTGGTGGCCGAAGTGGCCGTAGCCCCCGCCGTAGCAGCAGGGCATGGTCTTGGCGGCCGCGAAGGCAAAGGCGAGAGCCAGGAAGAGAAGGAACAAAAGGAACCGCATCTGCAGGAAGCACCAAATTGTTGTTGTACATCGTTAAGTGTAATGGTCTTAGCTATGTTAATAACCAGCAATTGCTATGGTTTTTCACTTTGCTTAAACTGTTATGTAGATGTTTTATGGTTACATTAGATTATGATATCGGAAAAATTTGTAGCTAGACTATGTATATCTGGGTGGAATTTCTTTTCACCAAATCAGAAACCAACGTAGAAGTTGCCATTGATAACGATGGTCCCTGGTGTAATGGTAGAACATTTTAAACAAGATCCGGTTTTGAATTACGTAAATAGCCCTAAGCACGTTGCACACACAGGGACATGCTCACGTTTTATGCGTTTACTAAGACTCCAATATTTTTTCAGGGTAAATAGAACAACAGGCAAGAGTTAACATCGAACACGAAAGCAATCAGAACCACGTTATAGGCTCAGATGCAGACGGTAAACAAGCACGAAAGATCAGTCCACAGCAGGCAGAGTAAGCAGTCGTCCTCCTTACCTTGAACTTCTCGGGGCACTGAAATGCTATGCCCGGGCCATTTCAGAGATTATATACCCTCCTTTGCCTCTCCCGGCCATCACCCCCGGCCGCCCCTTCGCCGCGTTTCCACCAGATTCAGGACAAGAAGGATGTGCAGCCGTGACCTTGTCGGAGGGTTGAACCACCTGAGCAAACCTCAGGAGCTTCCGAGAATGTTTGGTCATATTTTTTCTTTACATAATCATGGTTAAACATCAAGGACAAGCAACATCTCGCCCTCGTTCCAGACAGCATAGGTTAAAATCATGATAATTCCTATTGTCCTTAACATATTTAAAGTCAATTAACGCCTAAAGCGGAATGGAAATTCAGCTTGAAAGTGGGCACCTCACACTCGGAGCCACTGGAAATCCCTCGCCGCCTCCTGCTTCAGCGCAGACCGCGGTTTACTCAAATGATCAGCAGTGTATCAAGGTCGCGCCGCTATGCCCTTGTTAGTCTTATCCCGGGCGAGTCGAGAATCGGGAGTCACGCTTATCCCTCGACCCGTGGAAGGGGAGGCCGAGGGGAAGGGCCGTCCTGCATATAATCTCCTGCGGCTCCGAGATTCGGCAGTCGGGTCCGCTGCGACGACCACGGTGAGGAACCCGGCGAATGAGAGAGTTTTCAGGACGGAACTTTTTGCTTCGCTCACTGTCCGGGGGCCGAGCCTTGGCTAATTGAGCGCTGATATTTCCTCGATTTATGCCTGCAATCATTTTTCATTAAATTATTTTAAAGAGATTTTGATAGTTCAGTTTCATGCCAAGCTTTAACTGGAGAATACCTGGGTGTCTCCTGCAGATGCGGTTCCTTGCTTTCGTCGTCTCTCCTGCTCTCGCCGTCGCCCTTCGTCGGCGCCAAGTCCTTGGCCTGCTGTGGCGGCGGAGGTCACCACGGCGGTCACGGAGGAGGTCACCATGGAGGTCATGGCGGTGGAGGCTTAGGCGGAGGCTTCGGAGGCGGCGGAGGACTGGGAGGTGAGTGCACACTGTAAAGGCTTCTTTGATGAAGGCGTCATAACAGGACACACGTCAGCATCATTCAGTATGATATGTTTTTCCATCTCACTGAAACGAATATCACTTGCTCCAGTTTCAAATGTAAAACTTTACGATGATTTGCAGGCGGTGGAGGCTTCGGAGGAGGATTCGGAGGATGTGAGTATTGGCAAGAGCGTTGGCTGATTCGTCCAGGAACAGCTGAATCATTCGTAGAGCGATAATATAGATATGATAATGATATATCATGATGATATCAGTATTTTCTGCTGTCGTTATTACTAATTTTATCGTTATTTTCATCATTCCTTTAATGTTAATTACATCACATAATTATTAGAATAATTTAGTATTCTCTTCCATGTCAACAATTTCCATTATCACCGTCACTAGCTATTCCTAATATTATTGCCATTATTCTCGTTTTAATATTACTTTATCCGAATTTCAGAGAACTTGAGGACTTCTCGGAGAAATTACACGCACATCACATGACCAACGCATTTTCAGTGTCAAAATTACCACTTGTCATAGCATGTTGTTAGTCTCTTTTCCCCAAGTGTACACCTACTCTTTCTTGCTTTTTTTCATTTGTTTTCTATCCCTTTTCTTATTATTGGAAATAAAGAAATATAAAACCAAAGTGAGTTGTATTAATTCAATGTATTTATTCCGTAGGAAGATAATTATTAAAAACAATGTATATTAAAAACAGTTGAAAACAGTAGTGACTCCTACAGAAATATACAAAATAGATATTCATTAACGAAATGATAATACATAACTACATAAGCTTCTGTTAACCCCAATTGGATATCAAAATATTATCCAAATAGGATAACTTGGGATTACACGGCGATCGATATTAGGCCAAAGCATCCCTTCCTGGCACTTTGGCGCTGAGAGTGCCTCTCTGGTCTCACTGGATACTCCTAACGCTGGGCACTGAATTGGGACAAGTTATAAGGTGCCTTGATGTAGATCTTATTCACCCGAAGAAAGGATTGGCTTTCGGAATGTGTGTATGTACACACACGAACACACACACACATGTGTATATATGTGTATATTGTGTGTGTGTGTGTGTATATATAATGTGTGTGTGTGTTGTATGTGTATCTGTATATGTAGACACACACACACACACACACACACACACACACACGTACACACACACACACACACACACACGCATTATATATATATGAGAGAGAAATTGATAGACTGATATGTGTATATATATATATATATATATATATATATATATATATATATATATATATATATATATATATATTTAAACCCAGATTTATCTATTTCATATTACAGAAGTATGTATGATAACATTATTCTATGTATCTATTTATATTTGTCCTTCCCTTTCGTAAGAGCTATGTATTACAGTGACTTTTCTTTCTTTAGTACCGATCGTCACTGTGACTTACAACCATCTTTAAATCACAGGCAAACTCCTTGTGGGACTAAGGAGCAACCCCTCGCTCCCAGGAGGACCAGCTTCACTCTATAGTTATTCTTCTCTCTCTTGTGACACCAAAAGGTCACTAGTAATGCACTTGAAGGACCAATCTCTTGGGCTACTCTCTCTATCTCTCTCTCTCTCTCTCTCTCTTTCTCTCTCTCTCTCTTCTCTCTCTCTCTCTCTCTCTCTCTCTCTCTCTCTCTCTCTCTCTCTATTGTATTAAAACTTTTTGATATTGTGTTGAAAAAAAGAGAGAGACGGCGAATCGGAGTCCTCCAAAATCGAGGCTGAGTTACAACATGTCTCCTGTAAGAGTGGAAGCAGTGGAGACCTTCTCCTGCCCTTCAGCTGCACCGATCAATCTCGAATGTCTCCTTAAGATGCGGTTCCTTGCCTTCCTCGACCTGCTTCTCGCCGTCGTCTGCTTCGGTCACGTGACCCTGTCGGCGAAGGCAGCTGGGTTGGGCGTCGAGGGAGTGTGAGGAGTGAGGGATCGTAACTGCAAAGTCGTCTCAGGTGCGATTTTGAAGTTACGATTTAAGACCTTTTCGTAATTAGTTTATTGTAAAAATCATTAATTGGGACCGTTAACGAAAGGCAAGGTTAATTAGTGTGTTAATAATTTTTTGAAGATATATATGGTAATATCCTCTGCGAAGCTAAAGAGAAAGCCGTGGAATCAAGTTATCCTGTGTGTGTGTGTGTGTGTGTGTGTGTGTGTGTGTGTGTGTGTGTGTGTGTGTGCATGTATGTGTCTGTGTGGGTGTGTAACTTTTTGAAAGAACCTTTATCTATTCTAAAAGTAAGTATTATGTTAAGTTCCAGATGAAAAAAAAATCCGATTTACAAATAATCCTGCAATGATTAAATTTATCCTGTTGATATAGATTTAAATGATTTATCTATATTTCTTCATTTTCCCCATATATATATATATATATATATATATATATATATATATATATATACTTTTTTTTTTTTTTTTTTTTTTTTTTTTTTTTATCAATATGTGATTTCTAATATATACACATTGATTTCTTTCCACTCCTTTCTTCATTTCTCTCAGTTGTTATCTGAAGCAAAGATTAGCAAAATAAAATGCATGATTCATTTTTGCATTCCTCTTGCTCTGCACGTCAAGCAACGCAAGGAAGTACAAAACGAGGTTGGTACATTATTGTTTGCTTATCTCCATGAATGTGTTGTCTCAAAATCTATTAGATAACGGGATGTTAAAGAATTACATTTATTTTTTTCTTCTTCTTCTTCTTCTTCTTCTTCTTTTTTTTTATTTTTTTTTCTTTTTTTTGCGTCAAGAAAAGAACTTGACGCAAAAATGAACGCTGTATTTTCAGTTGCGTATGTTTACATATGTGTGCGTATGTGTGTATGTATGTATGTACACACATATATAAACCATAAATCTGTGTGTGTGTGTGTGTGTGTGTGTGTGTGTGTGTGTGTGTGTGTGTGTGTGTGTGTGTGTATGTATGTATGTACACACATATATAAACCATAAATCAACGGACATTTTGACTTGCTGGAGAATTATCAATGTTTCAGTAACAGGATTTTTGATGGCACAAGTAACCTGATCCATAGTACTTATAATCCATCACTGATACTGATACTGGCCAAAGTACTTAGTATATATATATAGTACTTAGTACATAGTACTAGAAGCTAGTACTTCCACGAATAGCAAGGCGGTTATCAGTGCTTCCTACTAGGACTGGATTTTTCCGGTCTGCAGTGTGGAATTCATGATGAACAGATTGCAACAGGAACAACGAAGGGAAGGGCAAGAAAACACACGAATATGGGCACATTCGTGTGTTTTCTTGCCCTTCCCTTCGTTGTTCATGTTGCAAGTTCCGGTCTGCAGTGCAAGTCCATTTCGGGAAGAACTGCTACGAAGTTGCCATTTCCTATTCATAGATGCCTATGTGTAAAGAATAAATAATAGATAAATAATAATGATAAATAAATAAAAATCGACCATGGATAATTCGAGACAATCTCATGGAATATAAACAAAAATAATAGCATAAGGATTGTCGATATATATATCACGTAAGCATACATGCATCTACACGCCCATCCACTCACAAATACACTCACAAACATAAGTGTGTGAGTGTTGGCTCAAACTCAGGTCGAAGTCAAGAGACTCTGGAGAAAAACCTCATTTGTCTTGTTGCACAACTGATGCTTGTATTTCCCAGTATACTCATCACAGCTGGAGGAGGTACCGCTGACAATGTAAAGCGGACACATTGGACTCCCATGAAAACAAAAAATCTGTTTTATTACTTTATGAATACTTAATGTATATACAAGGGGATGTGTGGTATGCGTAGAATAGACAAATATATGAAATGATAGCTAAGCCTGTTATGGACAAGCATAATACATGGAAATCACTCCCTTATAGCTTCCGGAATGACCCCGTGACCCCGCATTGTCCCTTTTGTTGACCTCGTTGGCGCCGACGGAGGCAAAGGCGAGAGAAAGCAGGAGAAGCGGGGAGGAGAGCAGCTGACGCCGGTGTAACAGAATTATTATTATCACTACCATTATCCAATCACGACGATGGAAACATATTGATAACTTTAGTTGCGTCGTTTAGGGGATCCCGATGCTGCTCGCGTGTCTTATCTGCCTGAGATTGACTCGCATGATAAGCAGGAACCATCAAGGTCACCCCAGACAAGATAAGGATCAAAGGTCATGCTTCCCGGGGACAGAAGAGGCAGGGACAGAGGCACATATAAGCCCTTACGCCGTCGGGATTCGGCAGTCCGGTCCCTCACGACGACCACGGTAAGAGGCAAGGGATCGAAGCGCCGTTCAGAACAACACAGATTATAATCGGAAGCTTCCATTTTACAGTGTTCTTGGTTCGGCATCTGTGTCTAGGCCTTGTTCCTTTGTCGTGATCAGTTTTACACAAGAGCTTCTGGTCTCCTGCAGATGCGGTTCCTCGCCCTCGTCCTTCTCCTGGCTCTCGCCGTCGCCTTCGTCGGCGCCAAGTCCTTGGCCTGCTGTGGCGGCGGAGGTCACCATGGGGGTCATGGAGGAGGAGGTCATGGTGGTGGAGGCATCGGTGGAGGCTTCGGAGGCGGTGGAGGACTGGGAGGTGAGTAGCCTATATGCAGGAAGAGCATTCATGGACATCCTTACTCAGGCAAGGAAATCGTTGACTGTTGTGAGTGCACTGAGGGCAGGAGATCATTTCCTTTGACGCAGAAACTCATTTCAAACACGTCTTTGCCTGCAGGTGGAGGAGGCTTTGGCGGCGGTTTCGGAGGATGTGAGTTTTATCCAAAATTCAGTTCATTTGCTGTGCAAGTAAAATTCCAAATAGAAATGTATTTATATATAATTCTCTTATTTATTTAATTCTTTACCTTTCTGTCATTTTGCTTAGTCACCATCATGGCTATTATTCTAATTATCATCAAACTTTCAGAAAACCTGAGGAAATCACGAAAAGCCGATCGTCAACGCATCACGTGACCAACCGATTTCCGTCCCTCGGCCAATCCCTTTGGAGGCGTCATTGCAGATTAAAGACTTTGAAAAATCTGATTCAGTTTTTATTGTACAATATGTCCCACACATAAACGGGATCCCTCTTTTGATCTTGTCAGCGAGTAATGGTTACACACACACACACACACACACACACACACACACACACACACACACACATATATATATATATATATATATATATATATATATATATATATATATATATATATATATATATATATATATATATATATATATATATATATATATATATATATATATATA